GACAGAAGAAGCACAACTTTGGTTCTACCGGGTAGAGCAGGAGGAACCAGGACTCAGCTGGGACCAGTTCAAGTCCTACTGCCTCCTCCGGTTCGGGCCGCCATTGACAAGCAACCCATTGGGGGAGTCGATCAACCTCAAGCAGACCGGGACCGTAGCCGAGTACCAGCGGAAATTTCAGACCCTTCTCGCCAGAGCCTCCTCAGTGCGCCCAGATCAGCAGGTGGATATGTTCACCGCTGGATTAGCCGAGCCCCTGAGAGATGATGTAGAAATGCAGAGCCCTCCCAACCTAGTCACCGTCATGAACCTAGCTCGCGCTTTCGAGCGCAAGCTATAGATCAGCCGAGGGTCTTTCAGCATGGGGCGTTCAGCGACTTCATGGACAAACCCAAAGACAACTGGAGGAGGGTATTCTTTGGCAGCCAGCAGGGAACAAAGGTTTCACACAGGTAGCACTTCCAGATCGGCACCCAACATAGGAAGCAGCATGACGGCACCTCCCATCAAACGCTTATCTAGAGCTGAGATGGCGGAGCACCGGGCAAGAGGGCAATGCTTCAACTGCGACGAGCTGTACTCAGTTGGGCACCAATGCAAGCGGCTATTCTACCTCCTGGTAGACGAACTGGAGGAAGACGAGGAGGAACCCACAACACTAGAACCCGATATCTCCCTCCACGCCATCACCGGGATACAGAACTCTCAAACCATGCAGCTGTGGGCACAGGTGGCAGGAAAACCAGTATGTATTCTGGTGGACTCGGGAAGCACGCACAATTTTGTCAGCAAGCAAGCGACACTTCAACTGAAACTACCGGTGGAAAGTAGACCGCAACTTCAAGTTGCCGTCGCAAATGGGGAGAGAGTTCACAGCCCTGGAATCTGTCGGAACATCCAAATACAGGTCGAATCCGAACCCTTCGCTGATTTACTTGTATTGCCCCTGGACGAGTTTGATATAGTGCTTGGAGTTAAGTGGCTCATCACTCTAGGCCCTATCCTATGGGACTTCAGTGCCCTAACCATGTCATTCCACCTGAATGGAAAACAAGTCACCTGGCAGGGAACCAGGGTAAAGGCAAAAAGATCGCAGGTGCATACTCTCCATGGCGAAGCCATGCACACCGCAGAGATTTTGAGACTTCTCACCGACTTCCCGGACGTGTTTCAAGAACCCAAGGGACTCCCACCTGCCCGATCGTGTGACCATCAGATTCCTTTAATACCAGGTTCAGAACCCGTCGTCGTCCGACCATACCGCTACCCGCATTTGCAAAAAGATGAGATAGAGAAACAGTGTGCAGAAATGTTGAAACAAGGAATCATCTGCCCCAGCCGCTCCCCCTTCTCTTCGACGGTTTTATTGGTACCGAAGCAAGACAGCACTTGGAGGTTTTGTGTGGATTACAGAGAACTCAACAACAAAACCGTCAAGGACAAATTTCCGATTCCCGTGGTAGACAAACTGCTGGATGAACACCACGGGTCTCAGTACTTCTCAAAGCTGGATCTCAGATCAGGGTACTTTCTGGTCCGGATGGCCCCCTAGGATGTGGAAAAAACAGCCTTCTGGAAGCATCATGGCCACTTCGAATTCCTAGTCATGTCGTTTGGCCTCACCAACGCTCCATCCACATTTCAGTCATTGATGAACGAGGTATTTTGACCCCACCTTCGCAGATTCGTCCTAGTATTTTTTGATGACATCCTGGTTTACAGTACATCATAGGTTGAGCACGTTCGTCACCTACGAACTATTTTGGAACTACTGCGCCTACACAAACTCTTCCTAAAGCGGCCCAAATGTTCCTTCGGGGAGCGCCAGGTCCTTTATCTGGGACATGTAATCAGCGGGCAAGGTGTCTCGGTAGATGGCTCCAAAATCCAAGCAATTCAAGAGTGGCCCAAACCTCAGTCCACCAAGGCTCTCCACGGTTTCTTAGGACTGACCGGATATTACTGCAAGTTTGTAAAGAATTACGGACTCTTGGCTGCCCCATTAACCAAGATGCTAAAGAAGAACGCGTTCCAGTGGGATGAAGCAGCGAACTCCGCCTTCGCAAACTTAAGGGATGCACTCTCCTCCACCCCAGTGCTGTAGTTACCAAACTTTGACCTGGAATTTATGGTTGAATGCGATGCTTCCGATATAGGCATTGGAGCAGTACTACAACAGCAAGGGCACCCATAGCCTTTTTTAGCCGCAAATTAGTTGACCGGCATTTAAAGCTACCGGCCTACGAGCGCGAGTTGATTGGACTAGCCAAGGCCGTACAACATTGGAGGCCATACTTGTGAGGGAGACCCTTCGTCGTCAAGACGGACCACTATAGTCTCAAGTATCTACTATAGCAGCGGCTTACCACTCCACCTCAATAGCACTGGGCGAGTAGGCTACTCGGGTTTGACTTCTGGGTAGACTACAAGGCAGGGACCTTAAATCGGGCCGCGGATGCACTGTCTAGGCGTGATGAAGATGCTATACACCTTTGTGCAATCTCTCGGCCCCGCGTCACCCTATTGGAAAGCGTTAGAAGCGTTCTGCCCCAATCACCAGAGTGGAGGGACCTAGTTCAGAAGATACAGTCCGGAGCAACCAACCCGAACTAGTCCATTCACGACGGGCTAGTACTATACAAGGGACGGGTATATCTCCCAGCCGATTGTCCATTAATTCCCTCCGTCATCTCCAGCATTCATAACTCCACACATGAAGGTGTTTAGAAGACATTGCACCGCGTCCACGCCGATTTCCATTGGCATGGTACGGGCTTCGATTCGGGTTCATCCAGAATTGCTCCATGTGTCAACAACAAAAATGGGAAAACTTACACCCGATGGGCCTTCTCCAGCCTCTTTCACTTCGAACACAGATCTGGGCCGATATCTCCATGGACTTCATTGAGGGCCTACCCAAGGTCGGCAGAAATCCGGTCTTATTCGTGGTGGTGGACCGTTTCTCCAAGTATGCTCATTTCATTCCCTTATCCCACCCGTATAGCGCAGTTTCGGTTGCCCACGTCTTCTTCACACATATTTTCCGCTTGCATGGGCTACCCGAATCCATCGTCAGTGACAGGGACCCGGTTTTTACTAGCACCTTCTGGAAGGAGCTATTTCGATTGCAGGGTACAACCCTAGCCTTTTCCTCCGCCTACCACCCGTAGACGGACGGGCAAACGGAGGTAGTAAACCATACCATAGAGATGTACCTCCGCTGTTTTGTGGGTGACCAATCATGGCGTTGGGTGGATTGCCTTCCGTAGGCCGAATACTGCTACAACACGGCCTATCACTCTTCTCTTGGCATGACTCCATTCCGGGTCGTCTATGGTCGGGAACCCCCCCCGCCTATTGTCCTATGAACCCGGTTCGACACGACTAGAAGAAATCGATCGTAGTCTACAAGATCGCGATGCCCTCCTGGATGAAGTCGCTCTCCGCTTATAGCAGGCTCAAACACGCATGAAGAATGTCTACGATCAACGCCACAGAGAATTAGCTTTCGAGCCCGGACAGTTCATGTGGTTGAAGCTCCAACCCTATCGGCAACACTCTCTCAAGGGCAAATCTCCCCCTAAACTGGCTCCCAAATTTTACGGGCCCTTCAAGGTGTTACGGCGAATCGGGAAAGTTGCATATCAGCTTGAGCTACCAGAGCACAGCAAACTCCATGATACCTTCCACGTGTCCTTGCTCAAGCCATTTACAGGTACTCCTCCTGATGAGGTACCTTCCCTACCACCCTTAAGGGACGGCAGACCCATTCTCCAGCCTCGGGCTCTGGTTCGATCCCGCGTCAATCGGGGTACACTCGAAGTCCTAGTGGAATGGGATGACCTACCATCAGCTGAGGCCACCTGGATCCCCTGGACTATTCTTCAAGACGCCTACCCAGATCTCGAGCTTGGGGACAAGCTCGTCGCCCAGGAGGGTTGTAATGTTGTGGATGCATTTGTTGGGAGGACGTACAGCCATCGGCAGCAGCAGTGAGGAGGGGCCCACAAGGCGGCAGCTTATCTTATCAGCTCTCAGCTTATCTTATCTTATCCTTAGTAGTTTTCCTTATCTTCTAGAGTTTGATTTATCTATTAGAAGTAGGAGTCTGATTGATCTTAAAGTGTGATTTATCTTTATCTGTAAGTAGTCAAATTCTACAGGGAGTCCCTCCCACCTCTTGTAATCTCCTGTTAAGGAGATGCGAATTGAGAATAAAGGCATTTAGTTTTCAGTCAAGGAAAGAGTTTAGGAGAGTTAGGGTTATCTATTGAACAAATCACCCTTAGGTTGCCACGATAGGCTCTGCACGCAAAGGGAGGGGCAAGGGGAAGCTAGAGGTTCTCCTCGTGGACCGACCCGTGACGAGATCCTACGCTCAGGCCCATAACACCATCAGTCTTTTAATTTCTTCCCATGCTATGGTTGCTAACTAAAATAGTTGGGTTCTTTCAATCTTTACAATTTTCTACCATGCAATTGATCATATCCTTAGTATTAAAGCCACCAAATGAACTTGCTTATGGACTGGTACTTCTTTATATTGAAGCACACTGTACTCACCTAATCAAGGTAATCATTACTCATGAGCTTCTAACTCTCCTGGAAGATTTGGAATCTCTATTTTAATTCCAGTGTTTTCATTGATTGTTTTGATGATTCATGGGCTGAACCTGAAGCCTAGTTGGCTGGTAGTGCGACTGGAATTGATGTACAGGTATGGTTTGCCTTACACTTTAGCTACCTAGAAATTTGTTGTTCTTGTAGTTTCATTATTTGAGTAATGGGAGTGCTAAGTTATTCTTTGATTTTTGTCATATTTCTTGAAGTTCATTTGGATTTCTTGCCTGTGGGGACCCTGCAGAATAACTTTAAAGTGCATTTGGTGTGTTGTATTTGTTTCCATTTGGCAAGTCAGTAGACCATTTCTCCATGTTATTAAAATATAACTCATTTTTTCTAATTGAATCTTCTATTTTTCCTTGTCAATAATGATGCAGGTTGGCACAATCGTGTTTCTGGCTTTGACTGGATTACTGGTTTTTATGCTTTTCTTTCTGGCAGCAACCTTCAATGCAATTATTATTTCACTTCTAATGTCCTTGGCAGCTGTGGGTGGCTTTCTGGCTCTTTTCTTTGCCTGCATGACAGCAATCTATATTGGTGCATTATCAATAGCCGCATGTGTTATTTCCACAGCAGCAATTTCAGCAATATTTGCTGTTGTGATAGCTACAGGTTCCTTTGCATTTATTATTATTATTATTATTTTTTCATTCAGTTGCTTGTTAACACATTTATCTAAGGTCTGCTTGATTAGACGATAGACATGACCAGCGTTTTCTTTGTTCATATGCAAGGGAGTTCAACCCAGCATTTGATGTGTCCTGCACCAGTAGTTGTATGACTATAGCATGTAGTCTCAGTTTAGGAAGAGAACAAATACAAATATGTACAGTGCAAATACAAGGTTTAGAAATTCTGTTACAAGGTTTTGCACTAAATATATTTGTATTTGCACTCTGCCCAAACTGAGCCTCAACTCTTTTGATTACACCATTATGGTCATGCAGTTAATTTTATGTCATAGCCTATTTTGGGCTATGTGCATTGTTGGATTTATTCTATAATTTGTGGTTGGCCAAGTCCAGCTGGTGAACTGCTTGTATGATCCCAAGCCCTCCTTGGCCCAAAAAATTACTTGAGGTTATTTTCCAGAACCTCTATTGTTGTTATAGTTCAGTCACACATGAAGTTCAGAAAGCCAGTGCACAGACGTGGAGTCAAGATTATATCAACCTAGGAGGGGTTTTCAAATGGTTAACCAACTTCCTTAATATGGTTGACTTGTTCTAGCTAGTGACTGCCATTTTGGGATATATTCTCTATGTTAGATTGATTCAAATACCCAGTGTCTTGCCATTTATTTATCAGCCTTTGATATCCTCTATAGTGACCATGCAAGCCCTGATGTGCAGGTGACTGGCCCTAAGTGCTCCTTGTGCTTATCTAAACAAAGGCTTCTCGGAATCCTCTTTTAAGAAACGTTAATATGTAGTGATTGATGGTCCATCTCCATGTGTTCAAGTTCATAAGAAAATTCATTCATTTATGTTGCCTTTTAATTTGATTCTTGCTTCTGTTGAAACCTTAAATGATTTGTGGAAGCATTTTCTACAGGTTGGATTGGATTCTTGTGGACTGTGTGGTTGGCAACGAAGAAAACTGTGGGCCTCGCCAAGCACTCATTCTGTATTACTGGATCAGCACTATCAGCATATTCTGCTGCTAGACAAGTTCATCACCATCGAACAAACAAGGTTGACTGAAGGCAGGTAATGGGAGAAATTTGGAGCTTTGTCTACATCTGGTCATGTTTACCTTGATTGTTTATTTATGTTTTGCTTCTTTGTCTACTCTCCTGGGAATGATGTAAACCTAAATCATTCTGTGTTGGTTCTGTTAAATATAGTGCCATGTAGTGAGTCCGACCTAGTTTTTGAACTTTCATGCATGTATCAAAGAATATGTAATGACCATTACTAGTTATATACTGAATTGAGGATATAACTCCAGCTGTGGAAAGCCCAAAGCCCTCCCAAACTGGTAATTGATCACCCGTTGGCATAACCGTTGATTTGGGAGAAAATCAATATTCTCTTGGGTCCCGTTTGGTTTTTGGGAAGTTACTTACCTCCCTAAATGCACTTACCCAGATAAGAAACACTTACCTGGGTAAGTGCTTTACTCGTGTTATTTTATTTTCTAGGTAAATAAAACAATGATTGTTTTAGCCATAAAAAGTCATTAAAAGTGAAAATTTTGTCCTATCCAAGTGTTGGCAACTATCCCCCAGGTTTCCCAATTGGGAGGGTAAGTTATATCCAGGGAGGATCCCACATAAATCTGAAAAAAGAACATGGGTATCTCGGTCAATGGGAACCAAAATCCTATAGACCCACTTTTCACCCTTTCAAAATCAAAAAAACGAACGGGTCCTTGAATCTTCTTCTATAATTGGATTGTTAAGTCAAAGTTATGTGTCTTAAGAGTAATATGTTAGACCCACTTTTCACCCTTTCAAAATCAAAAAAACGAACGGGTCCTTGAATCTTCTTCTATAATTGGATTGTTAAGTCAAAGTTATGTGTCTTAAGAGTAATATGTGAACAAAGAATATTATGATGATCCAAGTTTTCAAATCATGGGGCTCATTTGGTTTGCGGGAATGGGGGTCTAGATTCTAGAATTAGACTGTTTGGTTGGGCAGAAACAGAATCCATTCCTGTTCCTTTTGGAATGGCATTCCTCCATATTCCATTCCAGTTTATTCCAATTCTGATTGTAATTCCTGTCTGAACCAAATAGACTATGGGAATAAACTATTTCAAGGGATTTTGGTTCTGATTGAAAATCAAACAGGTCCATTGTGTTTTTCTAATTTCTACTTGTAGGTAGGGATGTCAATTGGACTGAATTTGGTCTAATCCGATTCAGTCCAATGTGAGTCCTTTATAAATGGACCAGGTTCAATTCAATCCAATGAATGTTTTGGACCAATTTGAACCGGTCCAATTCAATGTCTGGACCATTCAATCCGTTCAAATTTATTTTGATTTAGATTGGTTTCAATCCAAACCCAGTCCATTGACACATATATTCTTATCTTATACCAATGGATCTGGATTAATCTAACCCAATTCAATATAAATTTGTTACGGATGGATCAGGTCTAATCCAATCTAATAAATATTTTAGATCGGATTGGTTCAATCCAATATGTCTTGTTGGTGTGTTCAATCCGTTCAAATTGATGTTGGACTGGATGGGGTCCAATCCAAAACCGATCCATTGATACCTTTACTTGTAAGAATTCAAGGCTTTCCAGTTATCTGGCTTTTTTCTCATTCATTTCTTTTTTTTTGTTCTTTCGTTTTTTCTTTTGAATGCGATTGAATCATCTTTGATCCCTTTCCCATTGGCTTTTCTGTGTATATTCATGCATGTGCAAGCCAATGGATTTTGTTGATAAATGATAAATGTGCAGTTTGGGCAGGCTCTATATAGACCTGACCTAACAAACTTGGGCTTTTACAGTTTTACATATTTTCAGGCTTCAGGTTAAAACTGTGCCTCGAAAGCCACCTCAGCCTTCCCAACTTAACCTGATTCTTCTATAACACGCATACATAGCACGATTTCTTGGGGTCAGTTTTGCACTTTTGCCCATCCGATTCAGTGGTAGTACAGTTGATGCTCAGTACTTTTGCCCTTTAGGCTTCGTTTGTTTAAAATGCAAATCTGAATCGGATAGAAATTTTTTACCCAGTTCAGTTTTAAACCTATTTGTGACTAATATACACTCTTATCTGATGAAAAATTGCACTTGTTTCATATGCATCAATTAGCAGATGCAAATTTTGCATCTGAGAAACTGATGCAAATTTTGCACATCCTCCTACCTTAATTGTCATATAAAATGGGGAATTGGGATAAATCAATTTGCTTCCTACCTTAGTACTTTACTTCCCCCAATAAAGAACCTCGCTTTTGTCTCACTTTTCTTTCAGAGGACCACATCATTTTAGTTCCTATTTTACTTACAAACAAAACAAGGTCAAATTTGAAACAAAAGTAATTGGGATTCACACTCAGTCCATGGATTTGCACAAGTGCAAATGAGTTCACACTACAACAAATGGGTTCTTAAGTAAATAATGCATTAAACACCATCTTGTTTATTAATATACAAAGGCCCCGTTTGGTTCCTCTAATCTCTTAACAATGAAGTGGTTTTATACAACTTTCTGCGTTAAAGAGGTTTTCTGTGCCTTTTGATTCTGAAGAAGCATGATGGCTAAAGTACAGTCGGGATATTTTTTAATGAATTTTACCCATATTGCCCCTCTAACGTTCAATTTACCTATAATATCTCAGATCGAGACCCACCGGATCCACTGGACCCACCAGTGGTCTTTCATTTTCTCCATAATATTTTTAATATTATTATAATATTTACAATATTACAAAATTAATACTATAATATAATATTATAATTATAATATGCTATAAAAATATTCTAATAGAAATTAATTATTTAGAATAAAATTTACTAATTAATTATATTATATTAATTATTGTTAATAATACTGTTATACTTATTGTAAGGTATCTTAATTTTTGTTAATATTAAAATGTTATTGACTTATTGTAATAATTTTTAGTGTTGTTTTTTTATTGAATTATATAGGCAAACAAAAATTCTCATATATATGGTTAAAATAGTCATTTGGCAATTTTTAGAATTCAGATTTTAAAGTTCAAGTAACATTTTCAGAGTTTAAAGGAAAGAAAAATTCACCAAATCCAATACACCTCTTAATGTAATTATTACACTTTCAAATGTTGGACCTCAGAGCAAAACGTAGCTTTAGTTTATTAGTATTTTAAATAAGTGTTTATTAAGACGTTTAGGAGTATTCGAGCCAAACACAGCTTTAGTGAAAAATTGTGGTGCAACATGTTCCAGTGAAGAAGGTCATGTAAATTCCTTAAATTCCTTAAAGAAGTTTCATAAAAAATGGAAAGAGAAGGGACAATTTTGTATGCATGTGTTTGAAATTGATTTGCATGATTCCAGATCTGCTCCTCACAGAAAACGCCTCACATTGACCTCATAGCATGCCTTGACTACACATCAGGAACATCTTCCGTACTTGTATTTATTATCATCCATGGGGAGATGTTCACAATATAAGGTGTGATGTGGCTGAGGTCGGTGTGATGTTATCTCTGTGAGGAGTAGATCCCAATTTGATTTACACCTCTACCTGATTAAAAATTTGCATATTTTGTCCAATATCACTTTTGCACCTCATTTTCTCTCATATGATGTGGGGACCACTTGTACTTCCACCATGAATTTGCAATCCCCAATTGCATTTCAAATCATGATTTTTAAAACTGAACTGGTGACCAAACCGATCAAGGGTCTAGTTATCAGGTCGAATGGTTCGACCTTTCGAACCGAATGCTCGGCCCATTTTGACAAAAAAATAAAAAAAATTAAAAAAATTAAAAAACGGTCAAAACTATTCGAACAGTTCGAATGGTTAACTGCCAAGTTCCGTGGTTCACTGACCAAAATCAACGGTTTTGGGGGGGAATCCGATTTTTGAGAAAAATGGAACCAATCACCTAACCGGTTCTCGGTTTTTCTGGTCCGACTGTCTGATCCGGTCCAGTTTTGAAAATTATGTTTCAAACAAACAAACAAAGCAAAGCTTGAAGCAAAAGTTAACCAGCATTTGCATTTACCCTATTTGCAATCCCATGCATTTACATCAGTGCAAATTTCATTGGCACCGCAAACAAATGAAACCTACATTATTATTTCCTAGGAATGGGAGTTATTTATAAGTCGTCAAGATTTTTCTTTTCTGTTTTAACTTTTTGATAAGAGAAATGAAAATTTCTTCATTGTTTCTCTGAATATATCTTCAGTGAAAAATTTAAAGCAAGAAGAGAAAATTCTTTTTTCTTTCGACATATTGCTTTATCTATTTTAGTGGAAAAAATATTTAAATAAAAAACGAGGATATAGTAATCGAACCTAACTTCAGCCAAGGTACTCGCAATGTCAAAAAATAAAAGCTAAGGATGCAATTTGGGTTGGGTTAGGATAATATTTGCCAAATTTTGAATGGGCTCAAGCTAGGGGTGCAAGTCGGGCAGGTTGGAACGGGTTTATGGTCACTTAGGTCCAATCCTAAAATTTAGGCTTAATGCCTGAGTCCGGACCAAGTCTGAGGTCAAGCCCGAGCCTAGCCCACACTGTAATTTGAAGCATTCAGGTTGGGCTTAGACTCGAACTCGGGCTCGGGCTCGGGCTCGGGCTCGGGTTGGTCAATGAACTAGTCCGAAAAATAAAAAAACCCAACTTCTTGGGCCCGAACCCAACTAAAGGACCAAAAATCCTAGCCTAACCCATATAAAATTTCGGGGTGGGTCAGTTTGTGCTTGATCTAGGCCCGTTTAAGTTGCACCCCTAGCTCAAGCTCAACCCAAGCCTAGTGTAGTTGAGCTCTTGAATTCGGGCAATCCGACTTGCTTCCCCACTAAAAGCTTATTCTGAAAGATAAAGAAGTAAGTTATTCAGTTCAGCCATTTTGGCTGTTACATAACAGTCACTCAGTTTAGCTTCTACCAAACATGTTGTTACTGCCTTTTTCTTTCATCTGTTTTTAACAAGATGGCAGGAAACCATCAAATCTCTATATCACCTCTACCCTAACCAAAAAAGTAGAAGGAATGTTTGGTTACCCTTTTGCCCTTGTCGTTCATCATCATCATCATCATCATCATCAACAACTAAGCCTTGTCCCACTATATGGGATCAGCTACATTATTCCTGTTTTGTCATTTTGTTTTGTTTAATGTCATATCAATCATTAAAATTAAGTAATAGTGTAAACTAGCAATCCGAGATATGAAAATAAGAAACAAAAATACTTAGATTTACTTTAAAAGCAAAATATATAACAGATAAAAAAAATGTTTGTTTTATTGATAAGAG